TAGCCGAAAGTGGAGACCAGAAACAATGTATAGCCGAAAGTGGAGACCAGAAACAATGTGTAGCCGAAAGTGGAGACCAGAAACAATGTGTAGCCTAAAGTCAGGTGCAGTGCAACACACTACCCACTACCTGACTCCATCCTACTCTCAGATGTCAATGAGGAGTGGACGGAAGAAAGAGGCCCCCGGGCCCCGGGAAGAGCTGAGATCAAGGGGCCGGGCCTCCCCTGGAGGGGTCAGCACATCCAGCAGTGATGGCAAAGCTGAGAAGTCCAGGCAGACTGCCAAGGTATTCCTCCTCCGGCCCCCACAGATGCCACAGCGCTGCAGCTGAAGGGGTATTTGGGGGGTGGAAGGGGCTTCATGTCTGGCAGAGAGTAACTCTGGTGGGGGCTTAAGAGACAGAAGACAAGGATTCTCTTTCTCCCTCACAGAAGGCGCGAGTAGAGGAGACCTCTACCCCAAAGGCCAGCAAGCAGGGCCGCAGTGAGGAGATCTCGGAGAGTGAAAGCGAGGAGACCAGTGCACCCAAAAAGACCAAAACTGAGGTGAGAGAGCCGGTGCCTACCGTGACTTGTTTCTGACTTGTTCTTTCTCTAAGCGTCGTTTGTGCACCACGCCTACTTTGATCTCTGCTCAGTTAGAAAAGGCCCATTTGTTGCTTATTTGGAGTGGTCCTGTCTGTAATATGGTAGGCTTCAGTTAGAACAGTAGGTGACAGGGCAGGGCCAAAGGGATTGGAGGGTAGGGAAGGGTATCACAGCCTCCTTTGTGGAAGGGACAAGTAAGTTATTAGGATACAGAAATGGGGCTGGTAATGGAGCTCACTTGGTAGAGTGAGTGCCTAGTACATAGTGCTCAATCCACGCACTTAATAGCTGGGCATGAGTGCACATCTCTGACCCTAGCATTCAGAAGGTGGAGGCAGTAAGGTAAAAATTCAAGGTCAGCCAGGCAGTCATGGCAACACTGTTAATCCCATCACTCAGGAAACAGAGGCAGGTGGATCTCTGTGAGTTCCAAGCTAGTTCTAGGATAGCAGGGCCACACAGAGAACCCTATCTCAAAAAATAAACAAAAAATTCAAGGTCATCCTGTGCTGTTGGTGGGTTGGAGGTTAGCCTGGGCTATATGAAACCCTGTCTTTAAAAAGCAAGCAAGGAAGAAAGAAAGCAAAAGGAAACCAAGCATTGGGGATAGCTGAAGGAGACCAGAGATGAGCGATGAGCGTAGGGTACACAAGAGATGGCAAGAAGGGTCTGCAGTCAGTCGTGAATCCTGGGAAAGCAGGAAAGGAAGAGAGGAAAATCGAGCCTCTTCCCTGACAGCAGGAGCTCCCTCGACCACAGTCTCCCTCGGATCTGGACAGCTTGGATGGGCGCAGCATTAATGATGATGGCAGCAGTGACCCTAGGGACATAGATCAGGATAACCGAAGCACGTCTCCCAGCATCTACAGCCCTGGAAGTGTGGAGAATGACTCGGATTCATCTTCTGGCCTGTCTCAGGGCCCGGCCCGTCCCTACCACCCACCTCCACTCTTTCCTCCCTCCCCTCCACCACCAGACAGCACTCCCCGACAGCCAGAGCCCAGCTTTGAACCCCATCCTTCTGTGACACCTGCTGGATACCATGCTCCAATGGAGACACCCACATCTCGATTATTCCAGGGCCCGCCTCCTGGAGCCCCTCCCCCACACCCACAGCTCTACCCTGGAAATGCTGGTGGAGGTGTTTTGTCTGGACCCCCCATGGGTCCCAAAGGGGGAGCAGCTGCCTCTTCAGTGGGTACCCCTAGTGGAGGCAAGCAGCATCCCCCACCCACCACCCCAATTCCAATATCAAGCTCCGGGGCCAGCGGTGCCCCCCCAACAAAGCCGCCTAATGCTCCAGTGGGTGGTGGGAACTTATCTTCTGCTCCACCATCAGCTACTTTCCCCCATGTGACACCAAACCTGCCTCCTCCACCTGCCCTAAGACCCCTCAACAATGCCTCAGCCTCTCCTCCTGGCATGGGGGCTCAGCCAATCCCTGGGCATCTGCCCTCTCCCCATGCCATGGGTCAGGGCATGAGTGGACTTCCTCCTGGCCCAGAGAAGGGTCCAACTCTGGCTCCCTCACCCCACCCTTTACCCCCAGCTTCTTCCTCCTCTGCCCCTGGGCCCCCAATGCGGTATCCATATTCATCCTCCAGTAGCTCTGCAGCAGCTTCTTCTAGTTCTTCCTCCTCCTCTGCCTCCCAGTACCCAGCTTCCCAAGCTCTGCCCAGTTATCCTCATTCCTTCCCTCCACCCACAAGTATGTCTGTCTCTAATCAGCCACCCAAGTATACCCAGCCTTCCCTCCCATCCCAGGCTGTGTGGAGTCAGGGTCCTCCACCTCCTCCTCCCTATGGGCGCCTCTTGGCCAACAACAACACCCATCCAGGCCCTTACCCTCCTACTGGGGGCCAATCCACAGCCCACCCACCAGCCCCTACACATCACCATCACCAGCAGCAGCAGCAACCACAGCAACAGCAACAACATCATCCTGGAAACTCCGGGCCCCCTCCACCCGGAGCATATCCTCACCCCCTAGAGAGCAGCAGCTCCCACCATGCACACCCTTACAACATGTCTCCCTCCCTGGGGTCTTTGAGGCCCTACCCACCGGGGCCAGCGCACCTGCCTCCACCTCATGGCCAGGTGTCCTATAGTCAAGCAGGTCCCAATGGCCCCCCAGTTTCCTCCTCTTCCAACGCTTCCGGTTCTTCCTCTCAAGCCTCCTACTCCTGCTCCCACCCCTCCTCGTCCCAGGGTCCCCAAGGGGCATCCTACCCCTTCCCACCCGTTCCTCCAGTCACTACTTCCTCAGCTACACTTTCTACTGTCATCGCTACCGTGGCTTCCTCGCCTGCAGGCTACAAGACGGCCTCACCACCCGGGCCCCCTCAGTACAGCAAGAGAGCCCCATCCCCAGGGTCCTATAAGACCGCCACCCCGCCTGGATACAAACCGGGGTCACCACCCTCCTTCAGAACAGGGACCCCGCCTGGCTTTCGAGGCACCTCTCCGCCAGCAGGCCCAGGGACCTTCAAGCCAGGCTCACCCACTGTGGGGCCAGGGCCCCTGCCACCTGCGGGGCCTTCGAGTTTGTCATCTCTGCCTCCACCTCCCGCGGCCCCAGCGACAGGGCCGCCCCTGACTGCCACGCAGATCAAACAGGAACCAGCTGAAGAGTATGAAACCCCCGAGAGTCCGGTGCCCCCGGCCCGAAGCCCCTCGCCCCCTCCCAAGGTGGTGGACGTGCCCAGCCACGCCAGCCAGTCAGCCAGGTGAGCAGCCGTGGGGTTGGGTTCAGGTGGGTCTGGAAGCGGAAGACGAAGGGACGACGGTCACCGTGCTACTGACATCAGGGACACACGCTGGTGGGGGCCGCTTTAGGGACATTGGCTGGAGGGGGCTGCCCTTGAGGCTCGGGCTCACAGCCCTGTGCCCGCCCGGCAGGTTCAATAAGCACCTGGACCGTGGCTTCAACTCGTGCGCGCGCAGCGACCTGTACTTCGTGCCGCTGGAGGGATCCAAGCTGGCCAAGAAGCGCGCGGACCTAGTGGAGAAAGTGCGGCGCGAGGCCGAGCAGCGCGCGCGCGAAGAAAAGGAGCGCGAGCGCGAACGGGAGCGCGAGAAGGAGCGCGAGCGCGAGAAAGAGCGCGAGCTGGAGCGCAGTGTGGTGAGTGCGTCACAAGGTGCGCCGCGCGCCTCTCCCGGTCCCGGGCTTCGCCACTCCGGTCGCTTCGCCACCTGGCGGAGGGGAGGAGCCACTGCAGCCCCGAAAGCTCAGGCTTCCAGGCAGGAGGAAAAGAAAGCTGGGAGTGGGGTGAGGCGTTTTGGCTTTCCCTCACTGAGACAGTCGGGCGACGTGGGGCCGGTGACTTCCCGGAACTGCAGTTCTGACCCCTCCTTTCTGTATCCTGCAGAAGCTGGCCCAGGAGGGTCGTGCTCCAGTGGAGTGCCCGTCTCTGGGTCCAGTGCCCCATCGGCCTCCCTTTGAGCCTGGCAGCGCTGTGGCTACAGTGCCCCCTTACCTGGGTCCTGATACTCCAGCTCTGCGCACTCTTAGTGAATACGCCCGACCTCATGTCATGTCTCCTGGCAATCGCAACCACCCATTCTATGTGCCCTTGGGGGCAGTGGACCCGGGGCTTCTGGGTTACAATGTCCCAGCCCTGTACAGCAGCGACCCAGCTGCCCGCGAAAGGGAGCGGGAAGCTCGTGAACGTGACCTCCGTGACCGGCTCAAGCCTGGCTTTGAGGTGAAGCCTAGTGAGCTGGAACCCCTACATGGGGTCCCCGGGCCAGGCCTGGATCCCTTCCCCCGACATGGGGGCCTGGCTCTACAACCTGGGCCGCCTGGCCTGCATCCTTTCCCGTTTCATCCGAGCCTGGGGCCTCTAGAGCGAGAACGACTAGCGCTGGCAGCTGGGCCAGCCCTGCGTCCTGACATGTCTTATGCTGAGCGGCTGGCAGCTGAAAGGCAGCATGCGGAAAGGGTGGCAGCCCTGGGCAATGACCCTCTGGCCCGGCTGCAGATGCTCAACGTGACTCCCCATCACCACCAGCACTCCCACATCCACTCCCACCTTCACCTGCACCAGCAGGATGCCATTCATGCAGGTAAGACGCCCTCTGTCCTCGCTTTGAACTGTGGTTCTGCTGTACCTCATAATGTTCTTCCGTTCCTGCTGGTCAGACATTAGTCACCCTGTCCTGAGATTACCGTTCTCATCTTTGCTGGACTTCCCACCTACATTTCTCATGCTCTCTTCCTTCTGCCCTTCTGCCCTTGATAACACACAGAGCTGGAGCCTTTTGAAGGATTGCCTCTTCTCTGTCTTCATATTCTTTCTCTAAGCCCCTCACATGCCAGCGTTCTTGTTTTTCTGTATACAAATCCCGTTTGTTGCCAGCATCTCCTTGCCTTACATCTAGGGGTCTTCTGTGTTTCTGCCCATCTGCAGATTTAGAATCTTTTAGAGAAACCCATGTAAGTTAGGTTTTGGTGCCATAGGCAATATAGAACTTTACTTAACTGTAGCGCTTATAGCCCAGAACACTGCCTGGTTGGCCTTAGACTCGTTCATTTTGAGTTGCTTATTTCTTCTCGCTCTCATCTGTTCTCCCTCGTTAGGGCATTGATTGATGTATTAGTAAGTATACAAGACACCAGGCTTCGGGCATTTTCATACTGTGCCTTCTGCTCATATTCATCCCACCTCTTAATATTTTTTCCTGTCTCAGTTCTTGAACTCAAAAAAAATGACCAATTTTCTAAACGTTTCCTTCATCCCTTCCGAGCAGTGCGTTCTTTTCTTTCCTTCTCGGTCCTCTCTGCTAACTGCGATCTGTCTTCAATTATCCGCCTCTCTTCTCCAGCAGTTTCTTCTCTCCATCTCAGAGAGTCCCTAGCTCTTCCATTCTGCTCCATTCTGCTTTGGATCCCTTGGGTCTGTCTTCACAGGAGAAATCCCTCCACCCCAATGCATGGTTGTCCCTAACCCTGCCTCCTGGTGACACCTTCCTTTCTTTGCCCTCCAGCCTCCGCCTCGGTGCACCCTCTCATTGACCCCCTGGCCTCAGGGTCTCACCTTACCCGGATCCCCTACCCAGCTGGGACCCTCCCTAATCCCCTTCTTCCTCACCCTCTGCACGAGAACGAAGTTCTTCGTCACCAGCTCTTTGGTAAGGATGGAGGTTGGGATGGAGAAGCTCACATGAGGGAAGGCCAGAACAGGGGGATTAGGGTGGCAGAGTGGGCCTGTAGAGTTTGGAGAGGTGAGGAGCTATGGTAGAAACACAGGCTGAGGTCCTTCTAAAAGAGGCTCAGGTTCTAGGCCCAGGCAGAGAAGTTGGCACTGCTTGGTTCCACTCCGGCCCTGGCAGATTGTAGGGCAGGTGGTGTAACTTCACAGCTTAGCCTTAGCTTCCTGTCTGTGAAGTGGCTGACCGTCCCTATCCATCCATCACATGCTCCTGTCCTTTCTCCCCACAGCTGCCCCTTACCGGGACCTGCCAGCCTCCCTGTCTGCTCCCATGTCAGCAGCTCATCAGCTGCAGGCCATGCACGCCCAGTCAGCTGAGCTGCAGCGCTTGGCGCTGGAACAGCAGCAGTGGCTGCACGCCCATCACCCGTTGCACAGCGTGCCGCTGCCTGCCCAGGAGGACTACTACAGGTACTGCAGGGCTCCCAGAGCACAAGGGGAGGGTGTGGGGATACCAAGAGGATACCAAGCCCGTTGGAGGGGCCCCTCCTTTCTCAGTCTCATCGCTGTGATGCTTTGCCTCTCATCTAGTCACCTGAAGAAGGAGAGCGACAAGCCGCTGTAGAACCTGCGATCCAGAGAGCACCCACTGCTCCTTCACCCAGACCTTGGAGGACTCCTCCAACCTTTTGCCGCACCCCCATCCCCCCCAGAGCCGAGGAGAGGGTGCTGCCCACTCGCAGAGCTTCTGCAGCCGGGCGGAGGGAGGGAGGGAAGAAGGGACAGACATGGTTAAGGCCCAGGGTTGTGTGGTGCAGAGGTGGGAAGTGGCGAGGGTGAGGACAGAAAGTGCACAGTATCTTGGACCAGGTCCCTCCTCCTTATCCCCTGCTTTTCTTCTCCTCTATGCCCAATCCTTGGTGGCCACTGCTCCTCCCCTAACCCATTGGTGTGATTCATCTGTTAGATGTGGCTGTTTTGCGTAGCATTGTGTGCTGCCCCTGCCCCATCCCCTTGTGTGCACCCCCCTCGGCGATGTGTGCCCCTTGCCCGTCCCACATTAATAATTTATATATATAAATATCTATATGATGCTCTTTAAAAAACATCCTGACCAAAACCAACCAAACAAAAACATCCTCACAGTTCCCCAGGAATTTGTCCGTGACTTATTTTGGGGAGGTTGTGGGTCTGGTGGGGTGGGTAGGGCAGGAGGTCTGATTGTCTTAGGGAAAATGGGAAGAGATCTGGGGGGGCTTGACCATGGATCCCCAGCCATGCTTATGGGGGTACTTCGCACTGTTTCTCTGGTTTCTCCCAAGACTGGGAAGTTAAGGCAGCTGAGGCCTTTGAGAGTAAGAACAGGCCCACAGTGAGCTTGACCAACCCTAGAGACCTACACCTTGGAAGCATCCCTGTCACGGACCTGAACAGCTTGCTCCAGCAACAGTTTCAGGGATCTAACTCCCTTTTCATAGCCTAGTTTGACAAGTGATTTTGAAACAGTTGAATTTGCATAACCTCAGTAGGCCAAGAAGATTTGTATTGCTGATTTTCTTAAAGATTTATTTTCATTATGTGTATGGGTTCAAGTCTGTGACCATGAATGCAAGAGCCCAACAGAGGCCATAAGACGATGTTGGATCCCCTGTAGCTTGAGTTACAGGCAGTTGAGAATTGTCAGAAAGGGTGACCCATCTTTGCAGCCCCTCTATTTTTAATGAGGCAATGTCATGTAACCCAGGCTGCCCTTGAACTTGTGGCTCTCCTACCTCTCAGCTTTTGTGCTAGTACCACAGAAGTGCAGTACTATGTCCCTATGTCCCGTAGGGCCTGACGTTCTGGATTACCCTTGCATTTTGAGGAGGGGATGGGTGCAAGAGCCTAGAAGGACATGAATACGTGGCACCGGGCCACATCGCCTACCACAACATAAGGCCAATTACATCGGCTTTCGCTCCAAGCTTTTATTATTGCGAAGCCCTGCTTTTGCTCATAGCAACGAAGGAGCTGTGATTGGCTGTTCTTAGCCAATCAGCATTGAGTCATTTGCATAGCCCTCTACCAAACGGTCACAAACTCAAGAAACGACCGGTTTTAGTAGTCTTCTAGAATATTATTTACCGAATTGGATGATAAAAGTGTGCTTTGCTATTTGTATACTGGTAGGGGTGGGAAAAATAGCACGCTGATCTCACCCTCACCGTAAGTGGAGTTCGTGCCTTTCCCGGGCTCGCTGCTCCCGACGCTCGGGAGTGTTACAGCTCTTTTAGAATTTGTCTAGCAGGTTTTCTGGCTCTTGCCGGAAAACCCCTCCCAATCTCATTGGTAAACAAGAGTAGCAACGGGCCCGGCTTGGTGGCTGGTGGGGTCTCTTCTCGCCGTTGTCCCCCAGTCCTCTAGGACTTCCGTGCGTGTGTGTTAGGTCCACGCTCGGAGACTTCCGCCTCGTGCGCTATAGCTTCCTTTCCGCCTCCGCTGGCCCGCAGCCGTGGTGGGAGGCGGCTGGCTTCTCCGGATCTCTTCGGTGTTCCCATAGTCAAGTAGCGACTGGCGTTCTATGGCGTCCGCCTCGGCCCAGCCCGCGGCCCTGAGCGCAGAGCAGGCCAAGGGTGAGCCTGGTCCGGGCGTGGGCCGCCTTTAGGGGGAGGGCCTTTCTACCCATTCCTTCTCCAAGTGGGGCCTTTGCCCATTAGGGTGAAGGGTTGGGAGGACGAACTTATCGGGTTACTGATCTCCTCGGTCCACTAATTCCTGCCTCTTCCCTCCTCTGGGCTCGCCCGCCCTGCTCCGCGGATCTCTCTGGGATGCTTCGTCTTGCAGTGGTCTTGGCGGAGGTGATCCAGGCGTTCTCGGCCCCGGAGAACGCCGTGCGCATGGACGAGGCTAGAGACAATGCATGCAACGATATGGGCAAGATGCTGCAGTTCGTGCTGCCAGTAGCCACACAGATCCAGCAGGAGGTTATTAAAGCCTATGGCTTCAGTTGCGACGGGGAAGGTGGGTCCCACATGGAATGGCGATGGGATGGATTGGGGGTGGGGCTCATGATCAGTGGCCCCCGAGTCGATCTCTTTGTCGCCACTGGGCGGCAGTCACATCAAACATTGGTACTCTGAGCTGAGGGCCTATCCTCAGCTTCCCCCCCCCCTCTTTCATTCTCTTAAGTACCGACTCTTGAACCTTATGTTGGGCAAGCTCTCCACCTCTGAGCTGTATCTGCTCAGCTCTGAGTCAGGAACTCACCAAGGTGCCCAGGCTGGCCTTGAACCAAAAGGCTCCTTTATCAGCCTACTGAGTAGGTGGTATTGAGTAGGCTTGAGTCACCAGGCCTAGGTCTAACCTGAACTCTTGTCTGCCTGACAACAGGCTTCTGCAGTTCCTGCAAGGCGTTTTGGTTAATAGGTTTGGTGTTGGGGATTGAGCTCTTTCTTCCCAAAAACATATATATATATGCTCATTGATTGATTTGGCCTAGCTAGCCAGGGATTGCTTGTAGATCTGGGATCTTGTTCATATTTAGGCTGCTTAAGGACAAAACAGCTAACATGGCTCACCTGAGAGTAAAACGTTCTGTTTTAGTACTTTTTTTTTTTTTTTTTTTTTTGAGACAGGGTTTCTTTGTGGCTTTGGAGCCTGTCCTGGAACTTGCTCTATAGACCAGGCTGGCCTCAAACTCACAGAGATCCACCTGCCTCTACCTCCCAAGTGCTGGGATTAAAGATGTGTGCCATCACCACCCGGCTCAGTTTCTCTGTATAGTCCTGGCTGATCTGGAATTTGCTTTGTAGACCAAGTTGGCCTCGAACTCAGAGAGCCACCTGCCTCTGCTGTCAAGTACTGGCATTAAAGGCATGTGCCACCATGCCTGGGTGCTTTAGGACTTTTTCACATTGTATCCAGTCGTGCCTAGTGGAAACTGGGGTGGGGGTTGATGGAAGCCATGCAGGATGGGTGTGAACTGTCCTCCTTTGCCGATGGCTGCCTACTTGTGCCTATCTACTATAGGGCGTCCCCTTCCCTGCCTTGGCACACTGGCCCCCCTCCAGCAGGTGTCCTTCCTTGCACCCTCTTTCAGGTGTCCTTAAGTTTGCCCGCCTTGTCAAGTCTTATGAAGCACAGGATCCAGAGATTGCCAGCCTGTCTGGCAAGTTAAAGGCCCTGTTCCTGCCACCCATGACACTGCCGCCCCATGGGCCAGCTTCCGGAAGCAGTGTGGCTGCCTCCTGAGATTTGTTCTTGCGTGTGTGCCACCGCCAGGGAAGAAGACCTCGCTCTCCAGAGGATAATAAATGTGCTTGTGACTAAACCTTTGTGTTGGTCCTCTGTAGTCTTGGCTACCCCCACTTGTTGATTCCGACTGCCTCTGGCCTTTCCCCTCCTTCAGCTTCCTTCCTATACTCTTTGCTGGGACCAACCCTGCTCTCAAGAGCCCCTTTCCTCCTGTCCTCCCAGGGGGTGGGGTGGGAGGCTAAATGGGCCTCTTGGCATCCTGGGAGGTTCGTTCACAAAGGCGGTACCTCCTCTGAACAGTTGGCTTCAAGGCTTTTCTTTGAGCCCTCTTCTTTCCCGGGCCTGAGAGGTACTCTGCTGGGGGCGGTCCCTTGGCTAGGGTTACTTCCTGGTCTTTGCCCCTACCCGCCCTCCTGCTGCTCTGTCATCCTGAGCTCCAGGTGGAACAGCAGGTGGCTCCTCCCCTTCCAAGAGAAGTAGGCCCTGGCAGGCCTGAAGCCTGCTGGCCTGCCTCGAGCCTCTGGGGAATTTGACTGTGGTGGGCGGTCGCGGACCAGCCCCGCCCCACCTGTCCTTCCCTCGGAGACCTGCAAGCCAGGGGCTTGTCCTCAAAGTGCCACAGGTCTGACTGACTGGAGAGAGGAGGAAGTGGGTGACAACCAGAATATTCTTCCTGAAGGTCTGATCTAGATCCCTGGACAGCTGTGCCACTGGATTGGCCCCGCCCCCATCGCCCTTTTCCTGCGACTTCCCCCACTCCTCCAGGGAGATGCTGTCCCGCGGGTAAGTCCCCTGTGCCACCTGTGTCCTACAGACTCCTGTTAGTCTGGGCGGAGTATGCCATCATAAATAGTCTTGTCACCACCATCAGCCCCTGCCCTGGGTCAGCTTCCTGTCTTTGTCAACTCCTTCCCACAAGATTCAGGACCTCCCCCCCAGGGTTCATTCATATTCCTCTGCCTCCTTTTTCTTTCATCAGCCCCCCACCCCCAAATGTGTATCCTCTGGCCTGTGGTCCTCTGCTTCTGCCTCCTGTCTAGGACCTGTCCCCACTGGGTAGCTCACATCACCTCAGACTGAGGCACATTTGAGAACGTCCTTCCACTCCTAGGCAAACTCCCCCTTACTTCTGAGCCTTGGTTCTGTGGGTCCTTTCCCTGCTCCCCAAAGGGAGCAGACTTAAGTAGATAAATAATGAATATTCATGGTGGGTGGGGACTGCTGGAGATACTGGTGCATGGGGCAGATGTGGTCTGTTTAGAGAGTTGGTGTGCCAGGCTGAGGAGATAGAATGAATACATAAGCCATAGCTAGGATTATTTCAGATGATTGAAGGGTTAATGCCCATGCCCAGGAAAAGAAACACAGAAAGGTGCTAGCAGGTAATGCATGCTGGAGACATTACTGACTGAAGGGAGAGGGGACTTTCTGATGAGGTAACGTTTGATTTAAGACCTAGTAATGAGATAGAGACAGCCATATTGTGACCAGCAAAAATAGCAAGTGTGAAGCCAGAATAGGAAGTGTTCACTCAGAGGGAGCCTTGGGCAGCTTAGACCTGGGTGGAATTTGGGTAGCTGGCGACTGTCGATTGTTTGTACGGGAGTCCCCACTGGTTTTTGCTTTTCCTGCTCCCGGGAGTCCCCACTGGTTTTTGCTTTTCCTGCTCCCGGGAGCTGTTCTGTTTGCACTCTTCCTCCCGCGTGTGAGGGCAGTACTGAGTCTTCCCAGTAGGCTTGGCAAGGCATCTCCTAGTACAGAACCTTGGCTTGATTCCTCAGCCTGGACTTTCAAGAGCTCTGCTGCTGGGGTCCAGCCCCTTAAACACAGGCTCAGCTGCATTGATGGGATTACACTGAACAGCCCAAGTGATGTCATGCATGCACCTCTGTGTCCTAGTCCATCTGCCTGTGGCAATTACCTG